TCTCCGGTAACCGGCAGGCAAAGGGATATATAATAGACTGGTACAGCTTGGGACGGGAGACCAAAGGGAAAGCCACATAACCCTACTTTAGTTCCATTAATCCTCTCTTAGGCCCCAGTATATACAAGCCTATAACATCTCATTGTAGAAACATTGCTCAGCCACTGTTGTGTGGTCGAATCCTGGTGCAAATCATTTAATATAATTATGTTCGTATATTTCATGCATCAAGTTATCAACTACTGTACAGTACTCTGTGTTGTATATTTGTATGGCATCCTGTTGTAACTATTTGTTTAACACCCTGTATAAACACCCTGTATTAACCTTGAATATTGTTGCTAGTATAAATCATGTTGTAGAACGAACATAATGACGTCGCTCTATATGTTTTCTATGGTAACTACTCATCTGACTCGCGGGAATGACCGAGTATATATATATGTGGTGGTGTGTGGTCCCGTGCATAGAGCTTAGGTCACAAATCAGGTGAAATAATCAACGCTGTGTGTGGAGAGTCCTTGGATGGGTGACCATGTTTGACAGCTTGACTCCTGAGAGTTTCTAGGACTTCAGTCCTGCCCCACAACGAAGCACATGTGATACATGTGGTCTCACCTTAGGCAAGTGAGCTTGTTCATTGCCTCTGTTCACCCAGAGAGTGGTACCCGGTGAGATAAGTCATGTGACTATTAACCTTCTAGCGCCTAACAGGCAGCTTGGGTTATCCGGGGTTATAGTAATACACAGATTGTTTGGGAGCTTCAAGCATGCACTGTGCATGGAGACATGCCCATAACAAATGGACTATTATCACCATTACCTATGTAATAAACATTTGTACATACACTCGTAACAACACGGACATATTTGATGTGATGTACAGTTTTGTAATGACCTCGATGTATCATTTTATCAATAACAGTCTGTGCATTGTCTTTCAGATTCAGGTGCATGTTATTTCTGTAATAACCAAATGTTTAACATCCTTTAATAACCCAGTTGCACATGGCTACTCTGATAGCCAGATGTATATAAACTTAAAAGTAATAACCTGTAATAACCTTTAATAACCGCCTATTGTATGAATCACACGCATCCGTTATATGGTGTCTGTCTGGAGAAGGGAGAAGGTCTGGTCAACTGACATCTATAGCTCACCTGCTTGGGGGATGGAGATGAGCGTGTGTGGAACTGGGGTGGGGGGTTGGAGCGTGAGGGATGGGGGATGGGTTATTTGGGGGTTGTCAGGATGGATCAGCCCCAACGCCTGTCCACACACTGCATCCATGTAGATGATGTTGTAGCCGTCGCAGACAGCTCAAACAAGTCTGACCATTAGCTATTTGTCACGTGACTCCCGCCCTCTCCGTAACAGCGGAAACCAACTAGTAACGTTGTTTGCAGTCCGTCTGAACATAGCATGGACAGCCTAATGTACTCAACATCTAGCTGCTTCTGTGGCTAATATTGAGGTTTCTAAGCTCTCCTGCAAATATCACTTATCACGTCTTTGCGTTTAGTGCATGAAGTTATTACGTACAGTTGCTATTAGACTCCCCTTCTACCTAAAGGGCAAGCGCCGTTAATAGAAGTCTTGTTTCGGCGGGAATATTAACGAACAGTCTTGTTCACAATATACAATAAAATTGCTAAATTCTGAATCATGTTAGTCGATATTAAATGAAGTTTATGGAATAAAACGCCCGAGTTGATATAGTTTGATTTGCTGGTTACAAGTTGCTATGGCAACGACAAACTAACCACGTCAAATCAGTGAAACATGGGAAAATGTTCTGTTCGCTGCTTTCATGTTCTGCGTTCCGCGACCTCAAAGAATCACCGAGTTAGTTGGGTCATCTTTTCAAAGATGTCCGCTCCTAAGCACTTAACCCGGGGCCTTATCCGGACCGTGGTCACAGTGTGGACCGTCAGAAGACATCAAAGAGGAAAGTACACATCTTGTAGAGATACTCCACCGCGGCCAGTTACCGTTTTAATGCTACCATTCGCCGGGGGCTTGCTTAACCTTTGTCCCTGCAGAAGCAGATAGCCCTTTATTAGATAGTTAGCGGTTCATCTGGAACGAATGCTTACGATCCAGTCGCTCAAGTAATCGTTTCAAGTGTCGACTGCTGAGACTGGCAGTTAGGTACAGTAGATATGTGGAGATTGTACCGTGAGGTTCAGTTGACGGATCAGTGGTATATGAAACTGTAGCAGCTCGTGGAGGTATTGATCAGGAGGTGGTGCAACAGGTTGACTGCGGGAGCTCTACTTAACTCAGCAGGCGGGGGATGGGGACCAAACACTCAAGTCACTTCCCGGGTCTAGATTCCCCCTCGCAGTCTCACACCAACTCCAGCGCCACCACAGTGTCTAACCTAATCCTATAACATCAGTCTGCAGCCTCACCACCCCATGTTTACCTCAAACCGAGCATCTAGCCTCATTCTCTGCCCCATCCTAATCCCCAGTTCAGACTTCCTCCCAGTGTCTACTTCCAAGATGATCCCAGGCACGAGATTCCACCCTCATCCCCAATAACAAACCTGACCCCTGTCTGTAGCCTCATCCCAGTTCTCTCCCCACCTGGGTGTCATTCCCAGTTCAGTCCTCATCCCAATGATTCGTCACCAGTTCTACCCCACCCCTAATCTCCAGCTTCATCATGGTATCAAGTCTGAACCCACCCCCACCCCGGTGTGAAGCTCCTCCTGGAGACTCTAGAATATTGTGTCTGACCCCCTGACATGCCTATTGTCTGTGTGTCAACACTGTTATAGACGCTCTCTTAGTTTGGAAATTAATTGGAATGTCGTCCTGTTGATCGAGTGGAGGAATTGATGTGTGCTGTGTTTACATGAGTGTATGGCAATCTGCTATATTCATCAGCAAAAGATGCAGTTGACTCCTGGCTGGAGTAATCTGGCCAACAAAGGCTGGAGAAGGAAGCAGTAATCTTTATGGTGCGCCCCGTAATAGTTGTACAAATACTTGTTAAAGTCCCTTTACAGATTCCATCGATTGGAGTAGAGATGACTGTCAGTAGTACCTGCCCGGCCCCAGAACCTTGCCAGTGCCCTAGAGCGAGCAATGTAGAGATGAGCTGACTGGGTTGGGGCTAGTTGTATTGAGCTCATCACGGAACAAGCCGTGCATTGCTACATGTGTTGTGACGACGCTGTGTAGTCTGTTAATGAACTCTCACTACAGCAGGGTAGACACAAATCGTTTTAAACCAGACAACCTCATTGATTGTACAAGATCCATGAGGGCTTACGATGTTTGCATAAGAAACATTAAATACAATTACTCTGGTTTGATATCTGTTTTAAAGCCGCTGTTGAAACCTAATGGTGAATCGCTGCATGTTGTAGTCATTTCTTCACCTTTGAGCGATGACACGGGTAGGGTTTGATGGGATGACGTTATCTGTGCCGGATAACTAGCGCAGTTATTGGCAAACTCTACGCACGTTTCCTCTGTCGCCTATCGTGCGGTTGGGCGTACATTCATTAACCATTAAACTTGTTCTCCGCTGCTCTTTTCCCATCTGCAATACCATTTGACGGACCCAATTTCAGGCGACTTGGTATAGGGTCTCTTGAATGATCACTGCCTGGACCAGCCCAGCCATGCGCATGTTTGACAGATCAGGGAACGAGCGAGTGGCGAGCTGGCCGCCCCAGTGATTCCATTAGAATACCGCATTGACGGCCACCGTTTGTACAACAATCTGAAGTTTACTGTTCCCACTGATGTCCCTGCCCAGTAAAGTGTCCAGCTAAAGCCTTACGACTCACTTTATTACCGAGGCGTATTGACCATACAGAAACTCAGTTATACAATTTAGAGGTTCCTCTCTCTGCAAAGCGCTATCCCCATGTCTCAATCGGCGACTCTTGTGCAGCTCTGCTACACTGTACTGGGACGATATGTTTGAGTTTCAGTTAATGATTTAAACTTTTCGTACTGTCCGTGTAATAGTGTATGTGTTGAATGGAACGCCGTTCATCAGTACCTGACAGGGAGGAAAGTGCCCCCGTCACGGCGTCAACATGGACGACTAAACGCTGCCCTACTTCCCTTTGAGAACATTTAAATGGGGGAGTATTTTCACCCGACAGCGATCGGCGATTGATCTGTTTGGGAGTGTTTGTCCTAACGAGTCAGTGTCAGTTAGTGTTTCATTGTAAATCTGTCTTGAAGGAACTGAATAAAGACCAGCGTCTCGCTGGGTATGAGCGGCATTCGGTGGCCCAGCCCTACCCCTAGCTACTCTACCCCTAACACTGTTGCACCTGGCAAAATAAACTTTCTCACATCTCCCAGAAAGTGCTACGAAATCAAAGGTCTTTGATTTCCGTTATCACTGGAGGGAATCCATTCCCTGCTGTATCAGCAAGTATACGGATGTACGTATCTCGGATACTGGTACCGCGAGGTTCCCCGACCTGCGCGGCTCTGTTCCCTACCCCAGACAATCTGGGCACAGGACTGGGCTCTGTGTGCAGTTGACCACCACAGTTTCCATCTCTCCAGCTGGGTCTTCATGTGCCTCCGTAAAAATCGACTCAATTATTTCAGCGCTGTGTGAATTGAAATGTGCCACTGGGTTGTATCGTGGACATGCAGGCAGGGCGACGGATTTAGTCTCACTGTTACACATGTCAACGATGGAAACTAATAGTCATTTGAAAAATATCTGATCTTTACGTAAAAAGGCTGAGCATTGCATGTGATATATGACGGAATCGGTTCATCTGTGAGCTTCTGGACAGTTCCCAGTGTGTATGACAGCCGTGGAAGATTCTCTCACAAACTATCTTAGTGTCCCATTCAGTGTGTCTTCGGGAATATTCAAATATGGAAAACTTTGTTTCGGAAATATTGATCTTGACAAATGTTGAAGACGACTTATACAGGAGTAGCAACTGTACCACGGTCTTTCCTCAACAAGTTTGTTATTTTCTTTGACTGCTCAGGAACTGTAGCGCTCCGCCATGTTGGGATACAAGTCGGAGCTTTGACTGTCTCTGTACCTGTACCGTGTACTAGCCGTGTACTAGCCGTGTACTAGCCATGTACTAGTCACCTAGTCGTGTATCTGTTTATATAGAGTGTTATGCACCAAATACAACCATGTCCAAGACGATGTTACCTTCGTGTATCGTGTATAATTCACCATATTCATCTCCCTCCAGGGGCCTGGACTACGGTGCTGCCGACAAGAGGGCGTCCACCATGCCGTCCCAGGGGTCTCTCTTCACCAACTTTGAGGACGTGCAGGTAGGTGCTGCTGATTCATGTTTACCGTCTATATATGCTTTGAAACACCCCAACATACGCACATGCATGCCTGTACGGTGTGTCGCAGATCTCCTAAGAGTACATGGCTCTCTAGAAGTCTGACGACCGGTCCAGGGGGTCTATAATTTTCGTAAATTTCATTTTAATTTCCCCACCAGAACCTCTTTCCTTACCTTCCTCCTACAAACCTTACACCATACCTCAACATGCATTCATTACCCGGATGTACAGCTTTAATGTTGTACTGCACACTTCTATGTGTGTCTTGTATACATACAGGTGTCCTCATTTTCATTATATTCCAAATTGTAGGAGACCGCCCCCGTGGTGTAGTGGTTAGAGCGTCCGACCGGAGTGCGGAAGGTCGCTGGTTCGATCCCCGACCGCGTCATACCAAAAGACGTTAAAATATGTTACTTGTTGGTCCCTGTCTGGCGCTCGGCATTAATGGGTACAACAAGGACTGGTCGGCTCGGAGTCAGTATAATGTGTCTGAGTGGGGTATTCATGCTTCACTGTGGCAATGTATCTCAGTGGGCTAGCACTATAAAACCAGCTTCAGTCTGCGCAAGTACAAGCAGCCGCACACACACATACATACGACTGCACGTCGTCATCTGAGCGAAATATTCTCCAGCGCTTCGTTAAACCCAATTTCACCTCACCTTGCCCAATTGTAGGCTGAAGGAAAGTGTCCATTCATTTTTCACATGGTTGCTTTTTAAAAAAACCCGATTATGGATGACCTTGAGGCGGTCGTATTGACTATCTTACGTCAAATGTTTTATATATGGTATGCACACCGTTATTAAAGCCGCTATATTGCTGGAATAGTGCTGAGTGCGGCTTTAAATAACAAATAAACAATAAATAAAGGGCAATATCAGTGGATTGATTGTATCTGGGTTGGATAAATGGTAGTTGATCACAGTTGTAGTGCAGCTATGTATAAAACACACAATACATCGGTTAGTTGTATCTATGTTCGATAAATGGTAGTTGATCACAGTTGCAGTGCAGCTATGTATAAAACACACAATACATCAGTTAATTGTATCTATGTTCGATAAATGGTAGTTGATCACAGTTGCAGTGCAGCTATGTATAAAACACACAATACATCAGTTAATTGTATCTATGTTCGATAAATGGTAGTTGATCACAGTTGTAGTGCAGCTATGTATAAAACACAATACATCAGTTAAGTTGTATCTATGTTCGATAAATGGTAGTTGATCACAGTTGCAGTGCAGCTATGTATAAAACACACAATACATCAGTTAATTGTATCTATGTTCGATAAATGGTAGTTGATCACAGTTGTAGTGCAGCTATGTATAAAACACACAATACATCAGTTAATTGTATCTATGTTCGATAAATGGTAGTTGATCACAGTTGCAGTGCAGCTATGTATAAAACACACAATACATCAGTTAATTGTATCTATGTTCGATAAATGGTAGTTGATCACAGTTGCAGTGCAGCTATGTATAAAACACACAATACATCAGTTAATTGTATCTATGTTCGATGAATGGTAGTTGATCACAGTTACAGTGCAGCTATGTATAAAACACACAATACATCCGTTAGTTGTATCTATGTTCGATAAATGGTAGTTGATCACAGTTGCAGTGCACCTATGTATAAAACACACAATACATCAGTTAATTGTATCTATGTTCGATAAATGGTAGTTGATCACAGTTGTAGTGCAGCTATGTATAAAACACACAATACATCCGTTAATTGTATCTATGTTCGATAAATGGTAGTTGATCACAGTTGTAGTGCACCTATGTATAAAAACACACAATACATCGGTTAATTGTATCTATGTTCGATAAATGGTAGTTGATCACAGTTGCAGTGCACCTATGTATAAAACACACAATACATCCGTTAATTGTATCTATGTTCGATAAATGGTAGTTGATCACAGTTGCAGTGCACCTATGTATAAAACACACAATACATCCGTTAATTGTATCTATGTTCGATAAATGGTAGTTGATCACAGTTGCAGTGCACCTATGTATAAAACACACAATACATCAGTTAATTGTATCTATGTTCGATAAATGGTAGTTGATCACAGTTGCAGTGCAGCTATGTATAAAACACACAATACATCGGTTAGTTGTATCTATGTTCGATAAATGGTAGTTGATCACAGTTGCAGTGCACCTATGTATAAAACACACAATACATCCGTTAGTTGTATCTATGTTCGATAAATGGTAGTTGATCACAGTTGCAGTGCAGCTATGTATAAAACACACAATACATCAGTTAATTGTATCTATGTTCGATGAATGGTAGTTGATCACAGTTGCAGTGCAGCTATGTATAAAACACACAATACATCCGTTAGTTGTATCTATGTTCGATAAATGGTAGTTGATCACAGTTGCAGTGCACCTATGTATAAAACACACAATACATCAGTTAATTGTATCTATGTTCGATGAATGGTAGTTGATCACAGATCACAATACATGTTAGTGCTATGTTCGATAAATGGTAGTTGATCACAGTTGCAAATGTATATAAAACACACAATACATCGGTTAATGTATCGATGTTCGATAAATGGTAGTTGATCACAGTTGCAGTGCAGCTATGTATAAAACACACAATACATCGGTTAATGTATCTATGTTCGATAAATGGTAGTTGATCACAGTTGTAGTGCAGCTATGTATAAAACACACAATACATCGGTTAATGTATCTATGTTCGATAAATGGTAGTTGATCACAGTTGTAGTGCAGCTATGTATAAAACACACAATACATCGGTTAATGTATCTATGTTCGATAGATGGTAGTTGATCACAGTTGCAGTGCAGCTATGTATAAAACACACAATACATCGGTTAATGTATCTATGTTCGTTAAATGGTAGTTGATCACAGTTGTAGTGCAGCTATGTATAAAACACACAATACATCGGTTAATGTATCTATGTTCGATAAATGGTAGTTGATCACAGTTGCAGTGCAGCTATGTATAAAACACACAATACATCGGTTAATGTATCTATGTTCGATAAATGGTAGTTGATCACAGTTGTAGTGCAGCTATGTATAAAACACACAATACATCGGTTAATGTATCTATGTTCGATAAATGGTAGTTGATCACAGTTGCAGTGCACCTATGTATAAAACACACAATACATCGGTTAATTGTATATATGTTCGATAAATGGTAGCTGATCACAGTTGCAGTGCAGCTATGTATAAAACACACAATACATCAGTTAATTGTATCTATGTTCGAGAACACACCGGTCATCACAGATGTGCACATACATCTTAAACACATGATACGTGGAATCAAATGTATCTGTATTCGATAGAGCGAATTTACTTAAGGATGACACAAGTAGCTCGTTATATTTCACACATTATAGCAACTCACACTTGAACGTCATATCTCGCACAGTATTACATAATATGGCGTTCGTCATATCCCAGCCTTTGTTACATATATTACATGAATGGTGTACATATATAGTATCTCTCACAGCATCTCCCACTGATAAATCTCACAGCTTACCCTTCTGTTCCGTGCGCCATATTTTCACTCCATATCACAGTTCATCTATGTGTTGCGTTCGTCAAATCTCCCATAGATAAGCAGTTAAGCAATGCGTGGAGTATGTCATATCTTATATAGTTACAGCTATTCTACATACGTCATATTTAAGGTAAGGTAACCACAGTATGACATACGTCATATCTCATACAGTGTTACAGATAACCATTGTGTGACATACGTTATATCTCACATAGTGTTACAGATAACCATTGTGTGACATACGTTATATCTCACATAGTGTTACAGATAACCATTGTGTGACATACGTTATATCTCATATAGTGTTACAGATAACCATTGTGTGACATACGTCATGTGTCACATAGTGTTACAGATAACCATTGTATGACATACGTCACTCCATATTACAGTTCGTCTATGTGTTGCTCACATAGTGTTGCGTTCGTCAAATCTCCCATAGATAAGCAGTTTAGCAATGCGTGGAGTATGTCATATCTTATATAGTTACAGCTATTCTACATACGTCATATTTAAGGTAAGGTAACCACAGTATGACATACGTCATATCTCATACAGTGTTACAGATAACCATTGTGTGACATACGTTATATCTCACATAGTGTTACAGATAACCATTGTGTGACATACGTTATATCTCACATAGTGTTACAGATAACCATTGTATGACATACGTTATATCTCATATAGTGTTACAGATAACCATTGTGTGACATACGTCATGTGTCACATAGTGTTACAGATAACCATTGTATGACATACGTCATATCTGACATAGTGTTACAGATAACGATTGTATGACATACGTCATGTCTCACATATTGTTACAGATAACCATTATATGACATACGTCATGTGTCACATAGTGTTACAGATAACCATTGTGTGGCATACGTTATATCTCACATAGTGTTACAGATAACCATTGTGTGACATACGTCATGTGTCACATAGTGTTACAGATAACCATTGTATGACATACGTCATATCTGACATAGTGTTACAGATAACGATTGTATGACATACGTCATGTCTCACATAGTGTTACAGATAACCATTATATGACATACGTCATGTGTCACATAGTGTTACAGATAACCATTGTGTGACATACGTTATATCTCACATAGTGTTACAGATAACCATCGTATGACATACGTCATGTCTCACATAGTGTTACAGATAACCATATCTTGTGTTGACATACGTCATGTCTCACATAGTGTTACAGATAACCATTGTATGACATACGTCATATCTCACATAGTGTTACAGATAACGATTGTATGACATACGTCATGTCTCACATAGTGTTACAGATAACCATTGTATGACATACGTCATGTGTCACATAGTGTTACAGATAACCATTGTATGACATACGTCATGTGT